TTTTATGCCTTGATTTTTATTTATTTATTTTTGCTTATTTAAAAGGCAACAAGAGTGAGAAGGAGAAAGATAGCTTCTACCTGCTGGTTCACTCAGCAGATGTCCTCAACAGCCAGGCCTGGGACAGGCCAAAGCCAGGATCCTAGAACTCCATTTAGATCTCCCACACGGAGGGCAGGGATCCAATCATTTCAGCCATTGCTTACTGCTTCTTGGGTTACACATCAGCAGGAAGCTAGAATTGAAAGCTGAGATAGGGCTTGAACCGAGGCATTCCAGTATAGGATGCTAGCATCCCAAGTGCTGTCCACAAGCCCACCCCTGGATTATCTTAACCCTCATGACACACAAGATAGAGGCATTGAACCTCTCATTTTACTCATGAGAAAGCTGAAACTGAGAAAGCTAAGGACCTGGCACCCACATGCTGTCTGAGCTGATTCTGGCTCAGGATGAGTGACCAGGGCCTGAGGCCTTGGTCATCACACCAGGCCTGAGGAGGGGAGGATGCAGGATGGGGATGTACCTGGCCACGGGCCTGAGCCTGGAGGCCTGAAGGCAGGGAAACGTAGGGGTGTGGTAAGGGTTGGGGTACCCTGGGCTGAAATCTGAATGCAGGTTTTTGCTCCCTTGACCAGGTGGGCACTGAAGGGGTTCTTGCTGGCTGGGGCAGAAGGCTGTACCTATCCAGGTCCTGGAGGTGGCTGGGGACTACACTGGTGACATCAGGCGTTATAGAACAGAATTGACTCATAACCCTTGCTGAAGGTTGGATGTGGGTTGGCCAGGACCCATGATGGGGCCAGGGTTCTGACTGGGACCTAGGTTGCCAGGAACCACTCTGAGCTAGAGACCAGGACACCAGGGACAGTCAGGATGTGAGTTTGGGAGTGAAGGAAGCCCTCAGGACATCCCAGATCCAGATGCATCCATGTGAAGACATAGCCCAAACTGAGCCCTTACGGTCGAGTTGGGAAGACCACCCTCCCAGCTCGGGCACTGGCAACAGCAACCGGATGTCTGCCGTGTGACAATCTCTGCTCACTGCACAGATGAAGAGAGCGAGGCTTAACATACCCCAGGTCACAGGCAGCAAGTGGCCATGCTGTGGTTTGAAGCTAGTCCTCTGACATCCAGCCAAGGAAGGCTGAGCAGGCCACGGAAGCCAACTGCAGCCCAGGACCACGACTTCCAGAGGGGCCCCAGAAGCTGGTTAGGGTGGTCCCAGGGCTGACGTGGGCTTCCAAGACAAAGGGGAATGTAGTGACCCAAACACAAAGTGCCAGACTCAGGTGAGCTTCCTCCCAGCCACCTCTGGGCATCCAACCTTCACATCTTCATGGAGGGGCCAGGCGGAAAACCTTTGGTGTGGGGGAGGGGATGGCAGTGACTGTGGCTGCTGCTGGAAGGAGACTGATGACTCTGAATGTAGGGTGGCCCTGACAGCTGAGGGGGATATGGAGCCTGCATTTCAGGTCCAGAGGTCTGGGGTCTAAGGAGGAGGCACCAGTTAGGTGTGCCTAAAAAACCTTGAAGGCACCCACAGCTCAAGAATTGACCGTGGTTCCCCGCTGTCTGCTTGCGCTGAAACCCACTGTCTCTGCCTCATTCTGCCCAGCCCCCTTGTCCCAGCCCCCTAGAGGATGGAGCTTGTTCTTTGAAACCATGTTTCAATGCGGAACTCAGATATGAGGGAACTCAAAAGGTTCTTGGAAAAATGAAGTTGAAAGATAATATACATTTTCCATGAACTTAGATTTTAAAAAGATAAAGGCATCAGCTTATTAATATATTTTACAAGTTCAAATTCTTAGCATAAATCCCATCGAGGCCGACAGCAAGATGAATGTGAACGTTTTACTGGAAGCCAAGCTGAGAGTTGCAGCCTCCCTTGGCCTCAGCGTCCAGTCACTTGCAGAGTTTGCTTTTGGCAGCGAGAACCCCGCCTGCATTCTCATAGATCAGGGGTTGCGAGGGCAGCAGTGTTCGTGGATGCACACGCAGTGTCTTTGATGGACAGGGACAGCAGGGACAGCCTTGTTCCGGGCTCAGCAGCAGCCCTGTTCTCTGAGCGTGGGCAGAGGACTCTAATGTGTCATAATTTGGGGCTGTGCCCATTGGAGTCTGGAGTTTTTTCAGTAATTAAAAACATGAAAGAAAAAGAAGGAAAGAAAGAATGGAAAAGAGAAAGGAGAAGAAGGAACTCATGGATGGTGGGGCCCCTGGGCAAACTGAGGCAGCCCCAGGACCACTTGCTCCCTGGAAGCCTGCCCTGCCTGCTCCAGTGCCCTACACGGGACTCTCTCTCGTTGTGTGTGTGTGTTTTGACAGGCAGAGTTAGACAGTGAGAGAGCTGTGCCGATCCGAAGCCAGGATCCAGGTGCTTCCTCCTAGTCTCCCGTGCGGGTGCAGTATCCAAGCACTTGGGCCATCCTCCACTGCCCTCCTGGGCCACAGCAGAGAGCTGGACTGGAAGAGGGGCAACTGGGACAGAATCTGGTGTGCCCAACCGGGACTAGAACCCTGGGTGCTGGTGCCACAGGTGGAGGATTAGCCAAGTGAGCCACGGCGCCGGCCGGGACTCTCTCTTACCCAGACCTGTCACAGCAAGCACATTTGGTCCACGTACCCCTGAAAGGTCCCTGGTCCCACAGCCCCGACCTGGCTCATAGTGGATGCTCCAGGCTGCCAGTCACCCGTCAGAGCAGGGGAGAAGCCCCAAGCAGGAGACGTGGGGCAGGGGCTTCCCCAGACCCCAGGCAGAGCGTCCAGGGGTGGGAAGACAGGAACCCGGTGCCTCTGAAACCCAGAACGTCTCTGGTTCTGGGTACCTTCGTTTCTGGGAACTGACTGTGCTTTGGAAAGAGTGAAATGAGAAGCAAAACCCTCGGGCCCCAGCATCACCCCCCTTCCTGCATTCTGTCTTCCTTCCGCTGAGTCACAGCGAGAGCCGAGCGCTAAAGCTTCACTGAGGGCTACTTGGGTAGGGCAGGACTCAGGGTCAGATGAGGACACAGAATCTAGGATGAGTCCCTGTCTCCTGCCAACATGCTCTATGAGAGGCCCTAGGGTTGCGGAGGGCTGAGACAACCTCCTCAAACTTGTGGAGAGGGTAATCGGAGCCCTCATCTGTCCTGATGCCCCTCCCTCCCCCAGGCGCAGCGTTCACCCACAGTCACTTTCTGAGAACCTGTGGTAATCTAGGCCCGTGCGGTAGATGGTTTGGGGGGGCCTTGCTCTTGGGGAGCCCATGGACTTGGGCATAGATGCCTCCTGATGGGCCCCAGTAAATGGCTAGGTCCTCAGGACTGCATTTGGTCGGTGATGGGATAGCCACAGGGGTCATTTGACGCAGGGGAGGCCAGGCCCCATCATGCATGCATGTCACAGACACCTGCACACCCCTACACTGTCACCCACAAGTCCAGGGTTGTGGGACTTGAGCACTTGGGCTGGTGTCTGTGGTCACAGGCGTCTCTGCAGGGCCTCTTTGATGGGGAGTGCCAGGTCCCGGGAAGAGGTCAGGGCTGTGTGTGTGTGTGTGTGTGTGTGTGCATGTGCGTGCATGTGTTGTCATCACCCTATCTCAGAGGCTCAACCCTGAGCCGAGGGAGCTCAACACTGTACTCCTGTTCATGGGACAGAAGGCCTAGAAGGCCGAAGCCCAGAGAAGGCTCATGACTTGCCCAGTGTCACACAGCATGTTGGGGCAGGCCTGGGAGGGGAATGAGCCAGACCCGAGCACCAAATCCATGCCTCTGACCTTTCTGGTTTGGTACCTGGGGCTGGATAGCCCCCAAGGACCATGCTTCATCAACCTCTGGGAGGTAGGGCTGCTGATTCTCCCAGTAAACCCACCGAGTAACCAACCACAGGATACTCTCAAGCCTTACCAACCCCTTCCCAGGATTTTCCACACACCACACCTTTGCTTGGACTGTCCTGGCCACCACAGTTTCTCTCTCTCTCTCTCTCTCTCTCTCTCTCTCTCTCATCCCTCAAGGCTTTCCAAATTCTACTCAAATGCCTCCACCCTCACTGAGCCCTGAAACTCTCGGGTCTCTTATGTTCCCACGAACTTCTGACCACCTCATTCCTACACTCTGGTCCCTCACTCAGTAAAGTTGCAATTGACCCTTTGAGCTCTGAGCTTGGGCAGCGGATCTTCCAGGCTGGGGAATCTGGAGCCACAGCCAGCCCAGCCCAGCCCTTCAGACTTTACCAGTCACACTAGGGTGAGCCCCGGAAACCTCTGCCCCCCAACTCTGCTCCTGCAAAGGCCCAGCTAGGCCCTCTGCAGCCTCTGAGAGCAGGAGAAACTTGTGGCTGCCAGAGAGGGCAGGGGTGCTGCCACGTAGGCATGGTTTGGGCCGTGATGTTTACTGTTCCAGTTTCATTTATTCCTCATACCATGGCACCCCTCACCTGTATGCCAGGCCTGAACTGCTTGGCAAGGTAAGGGTTGGGGCCAGATAAAGTGTAGAGAACATGCAGGTTTAGTGGCTGTTGCTGTGTCTCTAAAAGGTCCCAGACCCAGTTCTCCATTCTTTGCACAGAGTCCTCTCCTTGGAGAGGGGCAGAGGGTTGCCTTTACCTCCTGAGGCTCTGAGCCCCACTGCTGTCTGGCTGCCCTCCGTCCCTGTTCGCCCACCCTCTGCCCTAGTCCTGACCAAACCTGGGAACCTGCTGCCACCACCCTTGACATCACTTTGTCTCAGGGGATGGACCCAGCAGCGCACACTCTGGGATAGCCAGCTTGAGTCCAGCCCATGGCAGAGAGGGGTCAGCTCAAGGAGGGGCATCATCAGGACCTGGCTTGGGCGCCCTGGAGAAGATTAGGGAGGGGGGACGGGAGGGTAAATTTCATAGCCAAGAGGAAGGTGGCTTTCCCTTCCCCACACCTCATTTTCTCCTGGCTATGGCAGGCCCAGGCCTCTGTGAAAAGTGAGCTTTTTCTGCTCATCTAGTCTCAGATTCCTGTTTTGTTTTCTATCACACAGAGAGATGGCCTAACCGGTTCTTGCTGGTGCATGGATGAGCCATGCCATCTGCTGGTTCACTCCCCAAATGGCCCCAACGGCCAGGACTGGGCCAAGCTGAAGCCAGGAACCTTGAGCTCCATCCATGTGTTGCAGGGGCCCAGGGACTTGGACCATCTTCTACTACTTTCCAAGGTACATTAGCAGGGAGCTGGATTGGAACCAGTGCTCCAATATGGGATGCTGGGGTGGCAGGCAGAGGCTTAACCCACTGTACCACAATGCCAGCCCCTTTGTGCATTTATTTTGTATCTGGCTACCTTCTTGGCTTCTGTTACAGGATTTGCTATTTGTTGCTTCTCTTGGACTTTTTTTTATTAACATTTTACCACTGAAAATGACAGAACTGTCTTTTCCTTCGAATTCTTCTCGCTTTTATTTAGTTTCCTTGTTTTATAGCTTGGCTAAGACTTCCAGTATAATATTGAAAAATAATAATAACCAGAGCATTTGTGTCTTGTTCTTTCTCCCTGGCCATGCCCTAATAGCTGCCTATCAAGTGTTCTGGCTGCTAATTTTGGATAGACAGCCATTCTCTAGTTAAAGATGGCTCAGCCTAATCCTGGCTGACTCAGGATTTGTTGGTTTATTTTAGAAGTTTATTTATTTGCATCTTTCTTTTTTTAAAGGCGGACTTTACATGAGTGAGGTAAATTTGTCTCTGGTTGGAAGTTACTTTTTTTTTTTTTTAAGCAGAGTTACACAAAGAAAGAAGGAGAGAGGAGAGGCAGAGAGAGAGAGAGAGAGAGAGAGAGAGAGAGATCTTCCATTCGCTGGTTCACTCCCAGTTGGCCGCAACAGCTGGAGCTGCACCGATGCAAAGCCAGGAACCAGGAGCTTCTTCCAGGTCTCCTACATGGGTGCAGGGGCTCAAGGACTTGGGCCATCTTCTACTGCTTTCCCAGGCCATAGCAAAGAGCTGGATCAGAAGTGGAGCAGTCGGATCTCGAACTGGTGCCCATATGGGATGCCAGCACTGCAGGAGGCAGCTTAACCTGCTACACCACAGTGCTGGCCCATATTTGCATCTTTCATTCATTCATGCAACAACCCTTCAATGAGTGAGGGCTGATTTCCAGGTCTACACTTGGTTCTGGGTGTAAAAAAGAAAATTGACACAGCCTTAGCCCATAAGGAGCTCATAGCTCAGTGGAGCGGAGGCAAGTCAGTAGGCCCTGGACCCGGGGCCGTAGGCATGCATTTGATCACTGTCTGTGAGTACTGTGCCGGGCAGGGGGGATGGGCAGTGTTCAAAGGCCCTGCTGATATGCACCTCACAGTCTGCTAGCATTCAGGTTCCCACACAGCAGCTGTGATGCTCAGCGAGGCAGAGGCCAGGTCAGGAAGTAACCAGAAATGCCAGGGAGCTAACGCCTTGCAGCAGCCCTAAGCCAGTGAGGCCAGGAGGTCTGCGGCTTCGTGTCCCGTGTTCCTCACTGTTCCGGTGGAACAACCCTGATCCTCAGTTGCCTGCAGCGGGAACCCACTCACTAACATGCCTGCTTTGGCTATCTTTCCTTCCTGGTCTCACTTCCTCTCTCCTTTATGTCAACAATGTATGGGCTAAGATTTACCTGATTGCATGCTAACAAGTCAGTCCACCATGGTCTCGAGGATGCTGGCAGAAGGTACAAACTGCCGGTTAAGAAACAAAGAATGGATGGGCATTTGGTATAGCCATCAAGACATTGGGATGCCTGCATCCCTGAGCAGAATCCCATCTCTGCTCCAAATTCCAGCTTCCTGCTAATGTGCAGCAGGTGATGGCTCAAATAGTTGGGTTTCTGCCACCCATGTGGGAGACCTGAGTTAAGTTCCTGTCTCCTGGCTTCAGGGTGGCTCAACCCCAGCTGCTGCAGGCATTTGGAGAGAAAACCAGAGCACAGAACACGTCTCCCTGCCTCTCTGCCTTCCAAATAAAAAAATTTTTTGAAAGTTAAGAAAGGTTGTTTTCGTGGCAACAGCAGTAGCCAATCAGCATTTTCTGCCACCACTTCCCTGCGCCCCATTCCCCAAGGCTGCACTGAAGGCCAGGTGGGTTGCATTCACAGAAGAGCCTTGAGTTTAGGGGACCTGGATCTTTTCTAGTCTCTGCAAGCAGACTTGCCCAGTAGGGAGATGATATCTTAGTGTATTGGACAGTAAACGAATTTGCCCTTTTCCCTGGAGGAAGACACAACATTTATCTTCTTCTTTTAAAAAAAAATTGAGAGGTGGAGAGACAGAGACAGAGACGTCCTCCATATGCGGATTCACTCCCCAAATGCCTACAGCCACCGAAGCTGAAGCTGGGAGCCAGTAACTTAATCCAGTCTGCCATGGGGGTGGCAGAGACCCAAGTGCTTGAGCCCTCACCTGCTGCCTGCCTCCCACCGCTGCACCGGCAGGAAGCTGTAACCAGGAGCCAGGGTTTCAAAGCCTAGTACTTCAGTATGGGATGAGAGCCTCCTAACCTGTGTCTCAACTGCTGGGCCCAACACTCGCCCTGCCTCTGTCCTCCGAGGCTGGTGTCCGTTATAATCACTGTGGTGAATTCTGTTTGGAAGAAGGGCAGTCAGTGCCTCTCCTGGAGGGGGTGCAGAAACGGGAGCGAACCACAGAGCATTCCAACACCCTGCCGGTGCTTCTTGGCGTCACTTCCCAAATAAGCGATTTGCCTTTGAATCCTTGTCTGAGTCTGATTCTGGGAGAAAACTCTCAAAATGGGGAGACAATGCTAAATGGACATCAATGGATTTCTGGAATTTCACCCTCACCAATCCCATCGTCCTGTAAATATGCAGGCAGCCCTGTGAAGGAAGCTGGCACCCAGAACTGTTCCTGCTGTGATGCTTGGGTGAAGGTTTCTAAAGAATGCCTAGGGTTTCCTTTTTAATGTTTAAATATTTGTTCACCTAGAATTTATGGTAGTGGCAGATGTGAGGTAGACACTGGACTTTTTTTTTTTTTTTAAGAGTATTTATTTGAAAGGCAGAGTTACAGAGAGAAGGAGAGACAAAAAGATCTTCCATCTGCTGGTTCACTCCCTAAATGGCCTCAATGGTCAGGGCTGGGCCAGGCCAAAGCCAGAAGCCTGAAACTCCATTTCAGCCTCCCCTGTGGGTAGCAGGGGCCCAAGTACTTGGACCATCTTCCACTGTTTTCCCAGGCACATTAGCAGGGAGCTGGGTCAGAAGTGAAGCAGCCGGGACTCGAACTGGCATTCATATGCGATGCTGGTGTTGTAGCCATCAGCTTAATCCACTGTGCCACAACACCAGCCCTGGAGTTTATTTTTTTTCCAAATTGTTTTGGGGTCAGCACTTTGCCGTAGTGGGAAAAGCTGCTGCCTGCAGTGCCAGCATCCCATATGGGCACTGATTCAAGTCCCCAATGCTCCACTTCCGATCCTGCTCTCTGCTATGGCCTGGGAAAGCAGTAGAAGATGGCCCAAGTGCTTGGGCCCCTGCAGCCATGTGGGAAGCCTAGAGGAAGCTCCTAGCACTTGCCTTCAGACCAGTGTAGCTCTGGCTGTTGCAGCTATCTGGGGATTAAAACAGCAGATGGAAGACCTCTGTCTCTCTCTCTCTCTCTCTCTCTCTCTCAAAACAGCAGATGGAAGACCCCCCCACCCCCGCCTCTGCCTCTCTGTAACCCTGCCTTTCAAATAAATGAATAAACCTTTAAAAAAGAATTACTCCAATGCCATGTATTAGAAACTGCGCCTGGGGCCGGCGCTGGAGGTTTGACACTCAGCATCCACTCCGTAATGCTGTGTGGGCCCAGGGAGAAGTGTGGCGGCTGTGCCCCTACTCAGCTGCACAGCAGACAGATCTGCCCCCCCGAGGATTTGACTGTGGATTAGGAAGATTTCTTCCTATGAAAAAATTTAACAACATTAATAAACATTTCAAAAACTGAAGTCAAATTTCAGTTTTAAATATTTCTAATTTAAATGTTGACAGTTTATTATAAGCTGAAATAGTCTATTTTGTCTGACTTTTTGGAAATGTTTAAAATGCTCATACTTTGAATTTTAAATGTCTTTTGTTTGATTTTTTATTTTAATATTTTAAATATTACCAAGAGAAGAGTAGTTGTGTGAAAATCTTGATTATGATAGCATCATCAATTGTTTAACTGGAATGAAGGCAAGGACAAAGAATGTTACAGAATAAATACAGAATATCTTCTGAATCAGGCCTGTCTCTGTTCTCTTTTTTTTTTCTTAAAGATTTTTATTAATTTATTTGACAGGTAGAGTTACAGACAGTGAGAGAGAGAGAGAGAAAAAAAGATCTTCCTTCCATTAGTTCACTCCCCAAATGGCCGCCATGGCCGCTGCTGCGCCGATCTGAAGCCTGGAGCCAGTGCTTCTTCCTGGTCTCCCATGCATGTGCAGGGCCCAAGCACTTGGGCCATCCTCCACTGCACTCCTGGGCCACAGCAGAGAGCTGGACTGGAAGAGGAGCAACTGGGACTAGAACCTGGCACCCACATGGGATTAACCAAGTGAGCCACGGCGCCGGCCCCTGTCTCCGTTCTCTTAAACCTCAGGCCCATCTCCAAACACATAGACAAAAACAGTCATAATTAAGTTCAGGATTCTTTCATAGTTGCTGGCTTTGAGATATATAAAAACAACAGAATTATAGATGTTTTCTTGCTGTAAAAGTTTATGTGTGAGTAGGAGGAGAAAACATGTTTTATTACAGTTTGATTTATGATTTTTCAATATTTAGATTTTGGTATGTGGGCCTCCACTTGCCTTTCTCCGCAGAGCACTGCCAACATCGGATCGGGGCCTCCGCTCCAACAGGAAGGAATAGCAGCCGTGAGCACAGGTTCTTCCTGCTGCAACAGGAGCCAGAGAAGGAGGGCTCCTGGTGCTCTTGTCCATGTGGGCTCCTGGCGAAGTGGGAGCCAGAGGCGTGGGTGGGGCCCGGAAGAAGCAGCACTCAGCAAGTCTACACACTCACACCTTGTGATTAAGGTAAGCGACACCATCATCCCCACTTCACAGAGTGGGGGTGAGCTCCCAGAGGGCTCATGATTTGCTCGAGATACCATGTAAGTTGTGAGGCTCTGGTACCCCCTGTAACAGGGCATAAGGGTCCTGTGAAAACCCAGTGGATACCACCCAGCCACTCTTTTCACGCTGACTATGTACCAGGGTACCAGGTCAAGTTCTCCCACAGTTGAATTTTCTGCAGCCAAGGCCAGCCTGACCAAGGCTGTAAGTGGCAGAGAATGTGGCATTTCCGTCAGCTGCCCCCAGTAGCCCCTGAGAACTGGCTGCTCCCTGGGCTGCCCCCACTGCCATGCTACAGTGGTCAGAGGACCCCGGTGCCCAGCTGCACCTCCCATCTGTCCTCTGGACAGAGTCCCAGCCTTTCTCTCCAGGACTGGGCCCTGCAGGATGGTGAGCTGGGGATAGGTGGGTGGCAGTGAGGGCCACGGAGTGACCTGAGGGCATGAGCCTGAGTCCCTGCCCGCACCCCTGTCCAGCCTCGGCCAGGGGAATCCTCCTCTACTCCAGGCAGACTGGTGCCGAGTGGTTAAACGGCTGCCCCAAGGCCTCCCAGCAGGACGGAGGCCCTCCCTTCCCTTCTGTGCTGACCTTGACTTGCTCTGCCAGTGCCCCAGCTGATGGTCAGCACACTGACGGCCACCACCTGGGAGAGTGTCCAGACCCTAACCCAGCCCTAGGTCACACCCTCCACAGCCTCCTGGGAGCTCCAGGAGCCAGGCATGGGCTCATTGAAGCCTCCCATCTTCATTCTACAGGTAGAGACACAAAAACTCCCATGGGCATAGCAGGGCCATGGTGCTGGGACTACTCTGGGCAGCTTGATGCTGAACCCGGGGCCGATAGGCCCTGCTGTGGGACAGGGAGTGAGGATAGGGACAAGGCTGGCCTGGAGAGTCAGAGCTGGCTGCCCTTCAGCAAGGGGGCTCAGTGAGCAGGACCTGGCACTGCTGACCCTGCTGACTGTCCTGCCTACTCTCCCTGGGCCACTCAGACTCCAGGTGCTTCCCACTCTGGGGCAGCTCGGTCACACCTAATCTCTCACCACACCCACACACTGCCCCTCACAGGCACCTGCACCCCTTTTTTCTCTACCCACACACCCATTTCTGACTGTCCAGTCTATGTCCCAGCCTGGGCGCTGGGCATTGCAGAGGCTGTGCCAGACCTAGGCCTGCCCTGGCAGAGCCTTTGGAGTGGCTCAGCAGTCCCCAAACTGGGATGGGGGAGTCTCAGGGGGTACCTGCAGTCAGGGAGGGCTTCCTGGAGGTAGAGACCCAAGCTGCGGCCTCAGCACCCTCCCCCACCCCACATCACTGGCCATCCTCGGCGCCTCTCCCTGGAATGGCCAGCAGGTTCCTGGAAGCGTCCCCTGGCCCTGCCGTGCTGGTTCCAAGAACTGCAGCTCTTGGCAGCATTTGCTTGGGATCCTTTCCTGGAACCTAGGCCTTGCCCTGCCGCGGTGGCTGAGGTCGCACAGGGCAGCCAGTGCAAGTCCTGAGGCAGGGAGCAGCTTGGAGGGGCCTCTGGAGGGAGGACACTCCATGGGCCAGACACTGACAGGTGGGTCCAGGACAGGGTGGAGGACGGGAGGTCAGGGAGGTGTAAGTGCTTTGGCCCCCAGTCAGCCATAGGGACAGCCCCATGAGTTCTTGTCCAGAAGGGAGGCCCCTCCCTGGGCCACAAGTGGACTCACCCTCCACCCCCAGCCCTGACACCAGCCTTCATCAGATTAACTCTGGAGGGACAGGCCAGGGGACAAGGGATAGGAGTGGCAGCTTGTGAGCAGGGAGGGGGGATGGGACCCTTGGAAGGTCAGGACACCTGCGTTATTAATCCTGTTATGATTGCACCTTGGGTGAGTACAACAACACTCAGTCACATGCACCCCGCCCCCGCAAGTTAGGTGATTGGGGGCCAGGCCCTGATGAATGGGCAAGGGCAGGGCCCAGCTCCCCTCAAGGTCACCAGGCCTCCTCTTCTGGGGTGTGTTCTCTACCCCCACCACTTCTGATCTGGCACCAGGCCTGCCCACCCGCCTGGGACCTGCCAGATCACGTTGAGCAACCGGTTCCTGAGAAGCAAGGCTGTTTAGTTTAAAATTAACTCCCCCGCTCCCCTCCCTCCTGCGGCCTCCTCTGAGTTCTTGGAAGAGACGCTCAGCTCTTCCTGGGAAGAGGCCTCCAGCCGCAGCAGCTGCCACAATTCTGGCGAAAACACCTCACCCAGGGTGGGGGTGGGGGTGGGGGTGGGGCGGGGGGTGCCCGCACCAGGCCCTCCTGTCCTCTGCCAGGCCCTGGGATCCTCTAGGAGCTCGGCACCCCAGGTTACCCAGTGAGGCTGAGCACAGAAGAGGGGTGATCATGCACACTGGGAGGCGAGGCCATTACCCCTGCTCCCAGCCGCGAAGCCCACGGCTCGCAGCCGGGCACTGCTGGCTTAGAGACCCTGCCTGGGCACCTCTTGGGTAGGAGAGGGAACTGATCCCGTTGGCAGCAAACCCAGGATCTTGTCCTACTCCAGGTGGCTCCAAGAGAGAAAGCAACCTTCCCTGCTTCCCCGGCTTTGTCTGCCTGTGCCCAGCCTGCCCACCCACGAGGTACCCGGCTGACGAGAACCACCTGTCAAGGAGGCCCAGGGCACACGCTGTAGGCCCCCATACACCAGGGTCATGGTGCTGTCTGCCAGAGGTCCCGTCTGCCCTCTCACCCAGACCTGCAACTGCCTTTGGGCTCCATCTCCTTCTGGGTGAGCCTGCGGTTTCTGGAGCTCTTGAGCTTCGTGGCTCTGAGCTGTGGGATGAGTTCGCTGAGAACCCACTCTCCCAGTAGCTCCTCCTACCACATCCCCTGGTAGAAGCTGAGAGAAACAGAGGAATGCTGGCCAAGTGGAAAGGTTAACACACTCAACACACCTGCAGGTGCACACACACACACACACACACTGGGGTGTGCTTGGAGGCAGGGCTGATGGGAGCGGGGAGCTTAGAAGTGCTCAGGGAGGAGGCAGCTTTGGTCACGGGTGCGGGGAGGGTCCCCGGAGCAGGGCTCTGCCCCGGGATACCATTCCCCCTCTGGCCACACCATCAGGGCATCATTGGTACCAGTGTATTCATTGGCAGTGGGGACTGAGTGGGTGGAACAGTCCTGGAGTTGTGGCAACCCCAAGTTTCCTCAGCTTTCCATAGCTGCCCGCTGTGCTCTGGGCCCCGTGTATTTCCACCAGGTCTAGGTCATGGGAGCAACTGTCTTTCCACTGAGCAGAAGCCCTGGAGGAACCAAGAGGTTCCCCCTGCCCTGGGCCTGTCCTTCTCCTGCTCAGATGAGCATCAGCCTCCACTCTGCATCCCCCAAAGCCAGCCCAATCACCTTCCAGCCACCCTGTGGCTCCCATTTGGGGTAGAAGGCAGCCTCCAGGGACTTGGTAGACAGGGGGAGCCCCATGGAGTGACCCCTGCTGTTTCCAGGCCGGCTGGGGAGAGACTTAAATTCCTGGTGCAGCTCAAATCTTTTACATTGAAACTGGTCTAACAGGTCGGGGTGAAAGGGCTGCGTAGGCCTGTCTAGGCTCTGCCTCTCCTGGAGCAGGAGGGCGTTGGGGAGGTCCCTAAGGCCCAGAAGCTCTGTGCACAGCCCCTAAGAAGGCTTCAGGCCCCTCACCCTGTCACTCCCTGCCTGTGAGCAGCCACACAGCGCAGGACTCCACCTAGGATCCAACTCCAATCCCCCTGCCCTTGGCCTGGTGGAAACCTGCAGAGCCCAGCCCCCTTTTCCAGAAAGCTCCCCCTGACCCTCCCCACCCCTCCACGTGGCCCCCGAACCCTGTGCATGCTGTGCCGAAGGTTTAGCGAAACAGTCTGTGGAGGCAGAGAGAGCTGTGGTTACAACAAACAAGATCTGGGCCTGGCTCTGCCTCTTGTAAGCTGTGTGGCTCTGAGCAAGCTGCCACCTACCTCTCTGAGCCTCACCCTCAGCTGTACATGGGGACAAACCCTGGGAGCACAAGCCCCACCAGGGCCCCAAAGCTGTGACCCTCAGCTCCTCTGCTGCTCACTTCACAATAACCCTCCCAACCCTGTACCTCACAACTCTCTGGCCATCTGCCTCCATGTCCTCATGTAACCGTTCCCCCCAGCTGACCAGATGTCCCTTAGGAATGGGCATCAGGTCACGGCTCTCCCTGGCTAAACTCTGCAGGGGTGCCCCTGTCCTGCCCACCCTTCTGAGCAGCTACTGTGGATGCACTGGTGGTCAACTTCAGCTAGGACCCTTCCCCAAGTCACCTGCAGGGCAGCTCCTACTCTATGCCTGGGTCCCTTGGCTCAGGGCCACCTGCTCCAGGGCTTGCCCCACCCCCTGCTTTGGTTGTCCTGTGTACTCATTTGTCCCCTTGTTTACTGTCTCTTGCACTGGCCCCTGAGCCCCATGAGGCTGGGGACTGTCTGCCTTGTTCCCTGACGTGTTTCCAGAGGGAGTCTGGCCCATTTGGTGTCTGAGGAGCGCGGTCAAAGGTCTGTTGTTGTCTATGTGTTGTGCTGGGTCCCATGCACCCAGGTAGTGCTAGCAGGGGGTACCCCTTTTTCTAGTCAGGGATCCCCCGGGGGGAAACATGTTGGCCAGAGGATTTTCACCTTTGTTAGACTGGGTCTCTGACTTGGGCCTGGGCAGAGCTGCCACTGCCCCTGTTCCAGGCAGGCATCACTAACTGGGAAAATGTCAGAAGTCAGATGGAGCATGCAGCCTCTCTCCAGGACAGAGCCGGGCCCTGGCTTGAGCTAGAGCAGAGGTGAGGGGCTGGGACCCCACTGACCAGGCCATTGGCTCCAGAGTTCTCAGCAGGCAGGGAGAGGGAAAGGAAAACCAGCATCCAAAAGCACCTTGCCGGAAGCCATCTCCCTGGCGCCCGCTCCTTCCACCTCCCATAGGGACCCTGGGGTGGGCGGCAGTCAGAAACCCTCAGGGTGAGCTCTGCTTTCTGTCCCGCTTACTAGGTGACCACAGCCAACCTCTTGCCCCTCTGAGCCTCGGGTTCCTCTGCGGAGCGTGGTAGGATTTGGAGCCCACACTCGGTGTGGTGAGTGCCTGGCATGCACCACGTGATGTCCCCTGTGTACGGCGAGGTATTTCCTTGCTACCTCTTGCCATGGCAGCCTTCTGACCAGGCCATAGCACCCAGTGGGGACAGCCTGCCTCTGGCCCCTCTGGGTCCACTACCTGGCCACTAGGACACTCAAATCTAGGAGTGGAGCACACAGAGGGGTCACCTCAGGGAGCCACCAAGGAGCTGATTCAGGACGAAGGAGTAGGGAGCTGTAGACAGCCCTGGCAGGGTCACGGTAACCCCAGGGGGTAGAGTGCCAGGCCCCACAGCCAGCCAAGGGCCCAGGCTGCCACCAGCAGCAGGGACGGTGCCAGGCTGGACATCTTGGCCTGGGCACCACACCAGGAAGGGCAGCCCTCCCACACCAGTCTCCTGCTCACTCTTACCCAGTGGCATTCCCTTTCTTTGCACAACCATCCTCACGGCCTCAGGCCTAGGCCTCTGGAGTCCTGCTGTTGTTCCTTTCCTGCCTTCTCCTGTCACCAGCACAGTGCTCCTCAGCTCTTCCAGCGCTCAGCCCACCAGCAGCTGCTGCTTCTCGTCGGCAGCTTGGGAGGCAGCATGGTGAGAAGTGTCTCCGGAGGCCGGCGCTGGGCTAAGCCTCCGCCTGTGGCGCTGGCATCCCATATGGGCACCAGTTCAAGTTCCGGCTGCTCCTCTTCCCATCTAGCTTTCTTTTATGGCCGGGGAAAACAGTAGAAGATGGCCCAAGTGCTTCGGCCCCTGTACCCACGTGGGAGACCCAGAAGAGGCTCCTGGCTCCTGGCTTTGGATCGGCTCAGCTCCTGCCGATGTGGCCATCTGGAGAGTGAACCAGCAGCTGGAAGGCCTTGCTCTCTGTCTGTAACTCTACCTCTCAAATAGTTAAATAAAATCTTTTTTTTTTTTTTTTTTTATAAAGTGTCTCTGAAGGAAGGTTGAGGAGCTATGAACCAGGCCCACGGGTGCTTTCCTGCAGAAGTTCAACACAATACAGGACCCAGCGGGAGCCTATCAGTGAGTGTGTCCCAGAGTCAGGCCATTAACTGGAGGGAGGGGGCAGGCGTCAGGTGCAGGACCCTGAGTGGGAGGATAGGGTCCCCCAGCCCTACCATCCCCATCTGTGGCCAGAACCTATCAGCTCTCTGGCCACCATCCCCAACTCAACTGCACCCCTGCACAGAACGAGCCCTCCCCAGGCCTCCTGGCGTCGGGAATACGAGGTTCCCAGTCATGCCTCAGCACCTTCACCCTCACTGGCCCTGCCTTTGCTGTTAGTTTGCTCAACTCAAGAGACTCTGTCCCCAGGAGTGGACCACAGCACTCGCCCCGCTGGCCCTCTGAACTGGCATTCCCTTGTTTACACACCTGGGTCTGGTGCCCTTCTGGCACCCCACCCCACCCCCACTTGGCAGGGGCCTGGGCAGTGATCCAGCTGGCTTTCACCTCTGCCTCCCATTCCTCACGGGGAACAAGAAGAGGTGAGAGAAGGGCTGCTCCTGTGTCCCGCACCCCTGACCCCCCCAGCAGGGACTGCTCAGCCACAGTAAGTCTCTGGGCCTTGGCTAGCCCAGAGGTAAAACGGGGTCAGGATAACAGGATCAAAGGGGAAAAGCCACGGACAGAATTTCAAAGAGGCCCCCGAGGGCTCCATAAATGAAAGGTACAAGTTTATTGTCATTACAGAAAAATCAGTGGAAGAAAAAAAGATCACTAAACTGGTTTTTGTGTCATGATAATTATTTTATAAAGTCTCATCAGTTGCGTATTTCTCTCCCTCTCTCCTGAGCACAAAGCAGGTGCAGCAGCACAGCCCTCACACCAGCACCCTACTTCCCGACACAACACCCACACCCGCACAGGGCCTGCGCCACAGGAGACCAGCTCTGTGCAGACAGGGCTCTGCCCTGCCCGGGGGTGAGCCAGGGCTCTGCTGGGGACCGAGGCCCTGGCTCCGTTTCCCACATGCCCACCCTCCCAAGACAGGGCTGGGGCGAGAGGGAGAGGACACATTCACAGGTGAGTCAGTGCCAGGACACCCAGGACATGTCTCAGGAGGGGCCTTGTCTGCGGGGAAGAACCAGGAAGCTGGCATGGAGCTGGGGTCTCTGGACCACCTAGGGCTCAGGGCAGAGAGGCAGGGTGGCTCAA